AATTCTGCAGTGTTTTCCACTGCTCCAACCCTCACTGGTTTTACAGCCAGAAGTTATGGGGATTTATCTTCCTGGCACTGGAACTCCGGGCTGGGTGGTCTGGTCTGGGGCTGCAATCTCTCATTCTGGAGGTGTCCCTCCCAATTTTTATCCACTACATGTGGATGTGGGACTCCTCATTCCTGTTTTCATGCCTCTCTGCAGTCTCTGCATCTCTACCCCTCCTGCCCGTCTTGATGAATGTGGCTTCTTAAATCCTTGGTTGTTGGACTTTCACACAGCTCAATTTTCTGACTGTTTTGGGTGATATTTGTTTTGTAGTCTAGTTGTATTTTTTGCTATAGTTGTGCAAGGAGGGGAGGGATGTTTACCTATGCTTCCATCTTGACCAGAAGTCCTCTGCTTTAGGATCTTTTAAAATTGATATTCCCCATACCTGAAATGCAGGCTTTTTCTGACCATCTAATGGCCAGGGTATGTTGCTGCAAGCTCATACCAGCTCATACCAGATCATAGGAGCCAATTGTATGTATCTTCTCCCAAAACAATATTCAGTGACTTCTCATTAGTAGTTGAAAATTGGCATGTGAATATTTACACCACAGAAATTGGCAAGTATTAGAATAAGTAATTTTTGTTTTTAAATGCTGGAAAGCCTGCTTACCAGTGCACCAATGATCTTACCTGAAGTTGTCCTTAATTTATCTCAGTATCTATATCATTGAATTTACAGCTTCTTGAAATGCCTTTTTTGTTGTCTTTTGTTTTTATTTATTTTGTCCTCTGTTACTTCAGTATACTCAGAAGAAAGCAACATTTTTAACTGCCTGTCCACTGCTATATTCTGAGGGCCTAGAATAGTGCCCAGCATATCATAAGAACTTAATAAATACTTGTTGAATTAATTGAATAAATGAATAACTTGGAGTGGTGATAATTTTAAGCTTTGTCATTCTCTTGCATATTTTCTGGAACCATTAGAGGAATAGAAGATATTTTCCTTTCTTTTACTATGTTTTTTATTATGGAAATTTCCAAAGGTTCAGGACAGTAGATAGAATATTATAATGAACTTTTATGAACCTATTACCTAGATTCAATAATGTTTTTAAGTCCCCACCTTTTTTCCTGGAATAATTTAAAGAAAATTCCAGACAACATATGATTTTAGTTACACTTAAAAAATAATAATAACCAGTCATATTCAAATTTCTCTGATTATTTCAGAATGTCTTTTTACATTTGATTTGTTTGAGTCATGGTTCTAACAAGTTTCATATATTATTATTGGTTGGTATATCTCTTAAGTCACTTTTAATTTATAAGAGTTTACATAGTTTTTAGTTTATGCCTTTTATTAAGCAGTCAGATTATTTGTCATGTAGAGTTTACCACATTCTGTTTGCATCTTAGGGGCTATATTTATCCTGTTCCTCCTCTGTTTTCTGTGAACTGGCAGTTAGTCTTAAAGGCTTGATTAAACTCCATTCTTTTAGTGAGGATACATCGCAGGTTGCCCTTTTCATGTATTACATTAGGAGATTGTGTTGTCCCACTTTAAGGATGTTAAGATTGATCAGTGGGCTCCAGACACCCTGGCCCATCCTCAGCCCTTCACCTAATTGGTTTCAGCAACCACTGATGGTCATCGCCAACATCCATTATTTTATTAGGGGTTGAAAATTGGTTATTTTATTTTCTAATTGTATTATTCTACCTGCATTGATTAGCTAGAATATTTCTATAATGAAGAATTTTCTTTATTTAGTTATCCTGAAATACAGTTGGTGTAGGAAAGGCAGGATCGTTGCTTTATTCTTTTCATTTATTATTTTTTAAAATTACTTGTTTTTTAAGCAACTCTGTAAAAGTAGATTTTTTAAATTTATTTTTTAATTATCATTTTCATTCAATATTATTTCATATTTTAGGTTTACAGCATAGTAGTTAGACATTTATTTATATGATACATGAAGTGATCCCCAATAAGTTTAGCACCACTTGGCACCATACATAGTTATTACAATATTATTTACTATATTCCTTACAGTTTTTCACCTAGTCTTCCACCCCCCTCCCCCTGGCAGTCATCAGTCTGTTCTCTGTGTCTCTGAGTCTGTTTCAACTTTGTCTATTTATTTTGGATTCCTCATATGAGTAAAATCATATGGTACTTGTAAAAGTTATTAGATTTTTAAAATATGTTGGGTATTTCACATATTTGCATTTTTTGTTTGTTTATTGAGTTTAGAGAAAGGAATGGAGAGAGGGGGAAACAGTGATTTATTTTTCCACTTATTTATGCATTCAGTGGTTGTTTCTCTCTTTTTTTCTTCTTCTCACTGGCTGTTTCTTATATGTGCCCTGACCAGGGATTAAACCCACAACTTTGGCATATTGGGACAGCACTCTAACCAGCTGAGCTATCTGGCCAGGGCCCATACTTGCATTTCAATCAATTGCATTATTTATTTTTAGTAATAATAGTATTCCATCTTTTTTTTTTAAAAAATTTTTTTTTTTTTAATGGAGGTCCCCTTTTCCCCCCCCCCCCAACCTACATTCCCCTTTCTCTATTTTTCCTCCCCCCCCCCTCCCCCCCCCCCCCCTCTTCCTTTCTTTCCTGTCGTCTTTTTTTTTGGTGTTATTGGGGTTGCTTTCCTTTTTTTCTTTCTTTTTAATATATGGGATTTATCCCCACCATTACCTACTTTCTATTGCCCCCTGAGAAGCACCTTATCTGTCCTTCCGTTCTAAATGAAAGTTTTGCTGGGTAGAGCAATCTTGGTTGTAGGTCTTTAGATTTCATGACTTGGAATACTTCTTTCCAGCCCCTTCTTGCCTGTAAGGTCTCTTTTGAGAAATCTGCTGACAGCCTGATGGGGACTCCTTTGTAGGTGATTGTCCCCTTAGCTCTTGCTGCTTCCAGGATTCTCTCCTTCGTTTTAATTTTGGCTAATGTAATTATGATATGCCTTGGTGTGTTTCTTCTTGAGTCCAACTTTTTTGGTACTCTCTGAGCTTCTTGGATTTCTTGGAAGTCTGTTTCCTTTGCCAGATTGGGGAAATTTTCTTTTATTATTTGTTCAAATAGTTTTTCCACTGGTGGTTGTGTCTTTCCCCCTTCTGGTACCCCTATAATTCGGATATTGGAGCATTTATAGATGTCCTGGAGGTTCCTAAGCTTCTCCTCATTTTTCTGAATTCTTATATCTTCATTCCTTTCTGATTGATCATTTTTTTCTTCCTTCTGGTTCACTCCATTGATTTGAGTCCCAGTTTTTTTTCATCTCTATGGGTTTCCTGTGGAATTCCATTCATTTCCCTTAATTTAGCCTTCATATGTTTCTCTAATTTGTGGCTATAGTCCACCAGATCTGTGAGGAAGCTAATGACCAGTGTTTTAAACTGTGCGTCTGAGAGATTTGCTATTTCTTCGTCACTTAGATTTATCTCCGGGGCTTTGAGGTCCCCCTGCGACATTTTTTGTCTGTTCTGGCCCTTTAAGTGAGAGAAGCGGCGCCTGGAGTCCCAGGTCGCTGGGTTGTGACGCTGTATGTGGGGGTGTGGTCAGAGCGGGGAAATGGCGCCGCTGCCGGCGGCGCCGCTGCCTCCGCCGCCGCCGCCTCCGCCGCCGCCGCCTCCGCCGCCGCCGCCGCCGGTCCGACCGCTCACTCCCTCACCCGCGCGCAACCGGGCAACCACAGTCAATTCGCTGCCACCGCCTCCCCACTGACTCCTCCGTAGTCGCTCACCCGGTGGGCCGCCGTCCGTCCGGATTATGGGGTTGTCGGACCGCGGGCTCCGCGGTGCGGGGCGGATCCTTTTGCCACTCGGCGGGGCGCGTGCCGGCTGGTGTAATTTTTCGGAGGTCTTCTTTTCGTTGAGTGTACCCCCCGTATTCCATCTTAACCAGTGGGAGCCCCTTCAGGTTGGCTCTTCTGTCCTTTGGCATGCCCCAGTTATTTTGATAGCTTATTGCCTACTTCCCAAGCTCATCTACTATGTATTTAAGGTTATATAACTTTAAATTAATTTCTTAATTTTTATATCAGTATCTGTTTCCTCAATATTTATTTGTTTATTTATTTTTACAGAATCATCATGTTTTATTTTTTCCCTTTTTAAAAAATTTAATTATTGTTCAAGTACAGTTTTCTGTCTTTTACTCCCATCCCAACCCCCCCATGCTCCCCACCTCCCTCCCATTTCCACCCCCCTTAGTTGTTGTCCATGTGTCCTTTATACTAGTTCCTGTAAATCCTTCCCCTTTTTCCCTGAAATTCCCTCCTCTCTTCCCTCTGGTCAATATTTAAAAGCTGAGTTCTTAATGATATTTACGTATTTTTTAAATTTTCTTTTTTTTCTCTTCCACCAGGCAGTGTAACTTATATCTTACACAATAAAAAATCGAAGTTAAGGAAGTGCTCAAACAACACAAATACTATGTCTCAGGGAATCCAGTTTCTTTTTCTTTTTTTCTTCATAGCTGGTTTACCAAATTCCTGTGGGATGTCTCTTTGAATATAAAATACTGTATGTGGTGTTTGTAGATAAATAATACTTGGTTAAGTGACTTAACGTCATTTACAAAAGGTAGGACAGCGCTCAAGGCAGAGAGCTGTAACTGCCATTATTAACAACAGCAGCGTGGAAAGCAGTCCTTGTCTAGCATAGTATTGAGCAGGTAATCATCAAGTATTCCGTTTCTTCTTTCATTATAGATTTGAGTGACTTTAAAAGACTACTAGTCTAGAATCCTGAAAGAACAGTATTTCTAGAGGTATTCATTTTGTTAAGAAATTACCTATGTTTACCTAGACATTTCTTTTTGCAGTGAGCCACATTGTCCAAGCAATGCTGATTGGGTTCTGCCACTCTCAGTTAAAATTTGAACATGAAAATGGGTTCTGTATTAATATAGAGACAACATACAGTGATTTGGTGCTGGTGTTCTTTAATACCAGTCAGAAACTAACTTGGTTTACTTTTTTCCCCAGATGATGGCCATAAGAAAGCTCGAAATGCTTATCTCAGTAATTCCAATTATGAAGAAGGAGATGAATATTTTGATAAAAACTTGGCACTCTTTGAGGTAATATTTGGGAGAAATCTAGGACAGATTTCAGGAAGAGAGATTTCAAGATAGCTGTTTTCCACCCTATTTAATTTTAAAACAGTACAGGCTGGACAATTTAATAATTGTAAAAATAAAAACATAACTTGTCATTGTGGTTGATTTAATCTATGTAATCTAATTATTGCTAATTAATGAGTAGCCATTAAATCAAATTTCTGTGAAATAGGAAGAGGAATGTTGACATCACAGGCACGTGGAGGACCTTGCTATCAAATTCAGCTGGGGTTTCGGTGTTTATGTTGGAATTATCATCTAGATACAAAATAGTGTATTTTTCAGCTCTACGTTTGGGAAGAGTATCATTTACCTTCTAACTACTAAGCAAACACCAGTGTAGAAAGCAGGCTGCTAGAGTCAGAGGGTCTGTGTGTCTTATCTAAGACAGCATGGACTCTGCAGTGGGGGTGTCGGAGGAACTGGTGTATCTCATCATCTATGTCCACTGACTCATTTGGCTTTGGGCAATGATGTGAGTGCCACTTCTCTCGGTGTGCCTGTTTTTTAAATGATATTTTCCCTTGTATTTCTTCAAGAAAAGGTCTGATGTGAGTATTTAGTTCAGTCGCAGAAGTTTTTCATTGACCTGTCCATTCTTAGTGTTTTAAATAATAGCCATAAATGCTAGTAGAATGTTAGTAGCCTTAAAAAAGAGGGTACTGTGGTTAAAGATCATATACCAATATTGTTACAAGGTTACAGCTGTCTGTAGGGGCCAGTATGATTTTGTTTTTACTGAAAAATTAAGCTATTAGAAAGAATTATAAAACTTTTTGCTTAAGAATTTTATAATTATTCATATAGGCTTGATTAAGCATCATATTTTAATGTGGGGGAAATAAACTTTCATTGATAAGTTGTCTTAATATATTTACCTGTGAAATATTTTGCTATTTACTTTGCCATTTTCTGGTAGAGCAGTGGTTTTGATGTTTATTTCCAATGTGTTCTTCGTCTCTCATTTCTTTCATACTTCTGATTTTATAGGAGGAAATGGACACCAGACCAAAGGTGTCTTCTCTCCTCAACCGCATGGCTAATTACACTAACCTGACTCAAGGAGCAAAGGAACATGAAGAGGCAGAGAACATCACTGAAGGGAAAAAGAAGCCCACCAAGGTGAGGCCTTAGAAAACAAGGATAAATAAAAAGAGCCCCATATATCAGAAAGGGAGAATATCCATGGCATCACTCTCTGCTCTGTAATAGATATTTATTGAATGTTTGATATATGCCAGCATGTCCTGGGCACTGGATTCATAGCACAAAAAGAACATGCAACGTCTCATTGTCATGCAGTCTAAAGTTTAGTGTGGGGATATAGTCCTTGATGCACTCAGAAAAATATAAGCATGGAAAAGAGAAACCGAGACTGCTGGCCAGCAAGGGAGCCAGAGCAGAGGGAATTGCGATTTTAGAGAGGTTGGTCAGGAGAAGCCTTTCTGACAGGGTGATATTTGAGCGAGCCCTAACTGACGTGAGGGTGGGAGCCAAGTGATAGCTGGGAGAAGAGCCTTCCAGGGAGAGGGAACAGCGCTGCAGCAGAAGAGTGTCCACACCCATCTGTTGATGCTACCTCTGGGTTTTCAAAGACCAAATATCAGTCCTTTTTATCAAAATGAAAATATGGAACAATATTACAAGTTAGGTTTTTGGTTGTTTAGGGGTAAAATGACCCTCAGACCTTTATGTTAGCAACTACATTTACCAACTACTGTGAAGGATTAATACCAAATTCTACAGATCAAGCAATTTATTTATTTATTTATTTATTTAACCCACACCTGAGGACATTTTTTAAAATTGATTTTAGAGAGAAAAGAAGGGGCATAGAGGGGAGAGAGAGAGAGAGAAAAGCCTCTTGTACATACCCCAACCCGGGATTGAACTCACAACCTGTTGGTGTATGGGACCACACTCCAACCAACTGAGCCATGGGCCAGGGCTATTAGTCCATTTGTAAATGAAAAGATACCTAACAACTTCAAACAACAGGAATTTTTAATTTGTTGGGGTGCACTTAAAAGTTTATTTGTGGTCAAATGCCTATGTAAACACCTGGAGACCTATGAAAGGTAAAAATTCATAGCTCTAGGAATAATAAAACGTATGGTGATGGACATTTGTAAGATGAAGATTTTACGTGTGCCTCTTTTAAGGTATTAAACTTACTACCTCGGCTTAGAGATTAATGCAGTAGTTAGGAAGCAAGTTTTTATATAAAAGTAAAGAGATAAAGTAATCTCTTCTAGATGACTATATAATTTTTTCTTTTGTCATCATTTCTCTTTCCAGACTCCCCAAATGGGTACCTTCATGGGTGTCTACCTCCCATGTCTACAGAATATTTTTGGAGTGATCCTCTTTCTACGCCTTACATGGGTAGTGGGCACAGCTGGAGTTCTTCAGGCCTTTGCAATTGTCCTTATCTGCTGCTGCTGTGTAAGTCCAGAGGTGGCTCCTGGAGATCACCTGGCACCTTGCTAGTGCTCAAGAGTATATGCACTTGACCTCTTTGGGACTAAAACAAGGAATACTGGGGAAAGACTCATTTCAACAGAAGAGATTATTTTGGTGTTAAAATTAAAAGGGTTTTCTGTTATTTGATGTCAGTTATTCAGTGATTATATCTATATAATAAGATGTGGTAGAAATGATAATGTAAGACTCCTATAGGAAGCAGAAGATGTAGCTTACAGAGGATTCAGAACACAAACAATTTGAGCTTAATAGCACCAGAGTTGTGACAGCAAATGTGTTAGAAAATGGAATGTGCTGCTCCAGCAGAGTGTTCAGCAACAAAACCGAGGTTGTTTGTGGAGAAGGGTTATTTGTTTTGTTTTGAAGACTCATTAATTTTCTCTTCCCCAGAAATTGAGATTTTTTTTCCCAACTCTTATCTCCATCATTCTGAGAACATTTTGATCTTCTTTTAACTTAAATTCCTTTTGCCTGAGTTTCTCAACCACATCTATCAATTTTATTATAAGTTAATAGATTATTTTATGTAACCGGTGACAGACCTCATTTATTACCATCTCCATTATGTCCTCCATGTGTATTATGCTCAGCAGAAAGCACCGTAAGTAGTGAGAGTGAGAGTCCATATCATTAACAACTGAAAATTAATAGTTCCATCTTTTTTTTTCCAGTTTCTTAGTCTCGAACCTTCAGCGCCATGTTTGGCTCCCGTGGCAGTCTTTCACACCCAGTCAGTTACCCGGCCAGTCATGCCTCCCTCTGAAATCTCTTACATTCAACCCTTCCTTTATATTTCCACTGCTGCCACTGCAGTCCTTACCTCTCACTGCACTGCTAGGCCTACTAACAGGTCACACTACCTCCATCTACTCCCTATCTGCAGTCCATGTTATACTCTGCTTCTAGGTAATGTTTTTTTGGGTTGTTGTTGTGGGGTTTTTTTAAGATAGAGCGGAAGGGAGGGAGAAAGAGGGAGAGAAACATCAACGTGTGGTGGCCTCTCATGCTCCCCATACTGGAGACCTGGCCTGCAATCCGGGCATGTACCCTGACTAGGAATCGAACTGGTGACCCTTTGGTTTACAGGCTGGCACTCAGTCCACTGAGCCACACCAGCTAGGGCCCAGGTAATGTTTTTAAAATACATTTCTTCTGTGCTCAGAAGTCTTCAGTAGTTTCTTTCCTTACTGAATACTGCTCTTGTTATTGTAGCCAGCCTTTAGTTTCTAACTGTTGTTCAAGTTGTTTTGGAGACCCAGGCAGAATCAGTGGTTCTTAATAGCACCTAACAGATGATGATGTAGAGGGCATTTAACAGAATGCTACAGGGAACATTAGTGTGGCTTGTGTAATGAGTTGAACTGCATCATCTCATTTCCATGCCATTAGCTATGGCAGCTAACTCCCTCCCTAAAAGAGGGTAGAGGTAAGTTTTCTGTAAGTTCTCTGAGGTCCACAGATGGGAAACAGTACAGAAAGGTCCTCTTTATGCAGTAACAACTTTATCCCTTCTTTTTCTCCACAGACAATGTTGACTGCTATTTCCATGAGTGCCATTGCGACCAATGGAGTGGTGCCAGGTCAGTAGGCTAAGCATGGACTTCAGGGATTGTCAATGATTACTGTGTTTTTGCTGTAAAGACCAAAAGCGTAAGCTTTTAAGGAATAGAATACTATTTTAATCTGTTGGCCATAGACACTAATACTCTTTGACTTTGGGATATCTTCTTTAAAAATTTATGTTCTATGCTGGAGTCTTTAATTTTTATTGCATTCCTGGCTTCTCTTAGAATACATTGTACTGGACTATCGCATGCCTGTAGTAAATGTTCCTTGGTATATTTGTATACTAACAAATCATGCTGCTTCTTGTGGAGCGTTAAATGTGCAGTACACTCTACCATACAGATATCTTTTACATTCCACTAGCAAATCTACTTTTTATCACACTCAGCATCTTCAAAAGCCTCAAATATTTATCCCTCATACATATTTTTATTATTCTTACTATTGACTTGTTTACATATCTCCTACTAATGTACTTTCTTTATCCTGATCACCTTCTACTTTGTGTTTTAGCTGGGGGATCATACTTTATGATTTCCCGGGCACTGGGCCCAGAGTTTGGTGGAGCTGTTGGCCTCTGCTTTTATCTTGGTACCACATTTGCAGCAGCCATGTATATCCTTGGTGCCATTGAAATTTTTCTGGTGAGTAATGACTTATTTGTGTTCTACAGTGTAATAATAGTATAGATTTGAATATATTTTGTTCTTTGATGTCAAACTTCTGAGAGAGCAGCTATAAGTGATTTTTTTGCAATAGGAGCCTTAAGTTTTAATTTATTTTTAAAATATATTTTATTGATTTTGCTATTATACTTTGTCCCAATTTTTCCCCCTTTGCCCCCCTCTACCCAGTACCCCCATTTCCTCCAGCAGTCCCCTCTCAGTTCATATCTGTGGTTTGTGCATATAAGTTCTTTGGCTTCACATTTTCTATCTGTTCTTTTTCTTTAAGTATATTTTATTGATTATGCTGTTATAGTTGTCCAAATTTTTTTTCCTTTGCCCCCCTCCACCCATTACCCCCCTTCCCTCCAACAGTCCCCTTCACCTTTAGTTCACATCCATGAGTTGTGCATATCTAAGTTCTTTGGCTTCTCCATTTCCTATACTGTCCTTTTTTTAAATATATTTTATTAATTATGCCATTACAGTTGTTCTATTTCCCCCCTTCATTCCCCTCCACCCTGCACACCCCCTGCTCTACCATTCCCCCCCCCATTTAGTTTATGACCACATGTCTCAAGTTCTTTAGATTCTATATTTCCCATACTATTCTTGCTGTCCCCGCTATCCATTTTCTACCTACCATCTATGCTACTTATTTTCTGTACCTTCTCCCCCCTTCTCCTTCTCCCACTCCCCTGTTGCTAACCCTCCATGTGATCCTCATTTCTATGGTTCTCCTCCTGATCTAGCTGTCCTCTTAGTTTGCTTTTGTTTTAGGTGTGGTTCTTAATAACTGTGAGTTTGCTGTCCTTTCACTGTTCATCTTTTTTATCTTCTTTTTCTTAGGTAAGTCCCTTTAACATTTCATATAATAAGGGCTTGGTGATGATGAACTCCTTGAATTTGATCTTATCTGAGAAACACTTTATCTGCCCTTCCATTCTAAATGAAAGCTTTGCTGGGTAGAGCAATCTTGGTTGTAGGTCTTTGGATTTCATGACTTGGAATACTTCTTTCCAGCCCCTTCTTGCCTGTAAGGTGTCTTTTGAGAAATCAGCTGACAGTCTGATGGGGACTCCTTTGTAGGTGACTGTCCCCTTATCTCTTGCTGCTTCTAGGATTCTCTCCTTCATTTTAATCTTGGCTAATGTAATGCTGATGTGTAATGCAGGAGGAACTTGGTATGTTCCTCCTAGGGTCCAACTTCTTTGGGACTCTCTGAGCTTCCTGGATTTCCTGGAAGTCTATTTCCTTTGCCAGATTGGGGAAATTCTCCTTTATTATTTGTTCAAATAAGTTTTCCACTCATGGCTGTTCCTCTTCCCCTCTGGTACCCCTATAATTCGGATGTTGGAACATTTAAAGATGTCCTGAAGGTTCCTAAGCCTCTCCTCATTTTTCTGAATTCTCGTTTCTTCATCCTTTTTGTTTGGTCATTTTTTTCCTCCTTCTGGTCCACTCCTTTGATTTGAGTCTTAGTTTCCTTTCCATTACTATTGTTTCCTGTGCATTTCCCTTCATTTCAATTAGTTTAGCCTTCATATGTTCCTCTAATTTGTGACTAAAATCAACCAGTTCTGTGAGCATCCTGATCACCAGTGTTTTGAACTGTGCATCTGAAAGTTTAGCTATTTCTTCATAGCTTAGATTTATGGGCTCTGGGGCTCTGAGTTGTTCTTGAGCCATGTTTTGATCTGTTTGTGCCTGTTATGTATGAGGAGTGGAGCCTTAGTTGTTCACCAGGACGGGGCCACCCAGGTCGCTGGTTTGTGATGCTGTATGTGGGGGCAGGGTCAAAGAGGGACAATGGTGGTTCCCTCTGCCTCTTCCTGCCCCTGAGGCCTGCACAGTCCGTCTCACTGCTTGCTCCTTCACCGGTTTATCTGCGCGTGAATGTGTGACTGTGATCAACCCTCAGTGGGTTCACCCGCTTCTCCACACCTGAGATCCTCCCACAGCTGCTGGCACACCTGGGTTGCGCTCCCGGGTTGGTCCAGTGGATCTTTCCTGCCTGACCCTGCTCTGCTGCTGGCTCTGCCCCTCTAACCAGTTTGGCTGAAGGGTTCGTTGTTGTCGGACTTCTATGTAGTTCAATTTTCTGTGGTTTGGCTGTGTTTTTGTTGCTAAAACTTTGTTGTTTTTAAACCTAGTTATGCTAGAAGGCGCAGTGCTTCCATCTATGCCTCCATCTTGGTGGAAGTCTCCTATACTATTCTTAATACACACACACACACACACACACACACACACACACACCACACACACCACACACACCACTCACCCCCCATCTATTTTGTGCCTTCCAATTATGCTTCTTAATTCCTGAATCTTTTCTCCCATTCTCTCTCTTCCCCCGCCCCACTGATAACCCTCCAAATGATCTTCAAATCTGTGATTCTGTTCCTCTTCTGCTTGTTTGCATGGTTTGTTTTTTTAGTTGTTGATAGTTGTGGATTTGTTGCCATTTTAATGTTCATAGTTTTGATGTTTTTCTTAAATAAGTTACTTTAACATTTCATATAATGGTTGGTAATGACGAACTTCAGTTTTACCTTGTCTTGGAAGCGCTTTATCTGCTCTTCAATTCTAAATGATAGCTTTGCTGGATAGAGTTATCTAGGTTGTAGGTCCTTACTTTTCATCACTTTGAATACTTCTTGCCAGTCCCTTTAGGCTACAGAGTTTCTTTTGAGAAATCATCTGACAATCGTATGGTAACTTCTTTGTAGGTAACTAGTTGCTTTTCTCTTGCTGCTTTTAAGATTCTTTATCTTTAACCTTTGGCATTTTAATTATGATGTGTCTTGGTGTGGTCCACTTTGTGTTCATCTTGTTTGGGATTCTCTGTGCTTTCTGGACTTGTACGTCTATTTCCCTCACCAAATTAAGGAAATTTTCTTTCATTATTTTTTCATCAATTTTTTTGCTCTTCTCCTTCTGGCATCCCTATGATTCAGATGTTGGTATGTTTGGAGATTTCCCAGAGGCTTATTATTCTGTTCTTGTCTTCTTGAATGCTCTTTTCTTCCTGCTGTTCTGGTTGAATGCTTTTTTCTTTCTTATGTTTGAAATTGTTTATTTGATTCTCAGTTTCATCCCCTTCACTGTTGGTTCTCCGTAGATTTTTCTTTATTTCACTTAATGTAACCTTCATTTCTGCCTGTGTCTTTTTTATGCATTACATTACCCAGTGATTTTTTTTTGAGTATCATGATAACCAGTGTTTTGAACTCTGCATCTGATAGGTTGGCTATCTCTGTTTCGTTTAGTTCTTTTTCTGGAGTTTTGTTCTTTTCTTTCATTTGGGCTATATTCTTTGTCTCCTGAATTTGCAAGCCTTCCTGTATTTGTTTCTGTTTATTAGATAAAGCTACTTTGACTCCCTGTCATAGTAGTGTGGCCTACTTTTAGAAAAGCGGACCTGTATGTTGTGTGGGGTAGAGCCTTAGATATTAGTCAGGGTGGGGCAGCTTTTTTCATTATGTTGTGGCTCTGTGTGAGGGAAGGGTTTGGAGAGGGTACAGTGCCTGGCTTCTGGAGTTTTACCTGGGAGGAAGCTGTCTCCCAGCACTTACCCTGATGCCAGGTTCTTCATTTTCTCCATGGACTCTAGCTTTTGCCCTTTTTCTGAATCCCAGAAGAAGTGGGTCTGCATTAAGTGCTTACCGAGTCCTTGTGGGCCCTTTAAGATGAGTCTCCTTATAATCTGGCAGTTTTTTCCACCACCCTAACACCTACTAGTTTGTACAGCCAAAAGTTATGAGGATTTATCTTCATGGTCCTGGAACCCTGGACTGCTGGTTGGACTGGTTTGGGGCTGGGATCCCTCACTCCCGAGGTATCCCTCATGATTTTTATCCATCACTCGTGAACGTTGTACCACCTGTTCTACTGTCTCTCCATGCCATTCCCATGGCTCCATGCCCCTCTGCCTCTCTGCCTCTCCCCACCTCCTACCCATTTGGATGAATGTGGCTGCTTCTTTAAATCCTTGGTTGTTGGACCTCCACATAGCTTGATTTTCTGACAATTCTGGGTGATATTGTTTTGTAGTCTAGTTGTAATTTTCTCTATAGTTGAGCAAGGAAGCAAAGCATGTTTCCCTATGCTTCCATCTTGACTAGAAGTCCTATAAGTAATTGATTGTTATAGGCATAATTCATTTTATTGTGCTTTGCATGATTTTGCCTTGATTTATTGCGCTTTGCAGACATATATTGGCCTCATGGTGTGAATATGCAGCAGAAAGGTGGAGGGTCTCCTTTGCCTGCCTACTCCTTCCCCTCCACCCAATCACCACCACCCTACCACCCTACAACCAAGAAGTTAATGTCTCCAAGGAAGACTTGTGTCAATGGGGAAAAAGTAAAATAATGTTTATTTTTTAAATATCTTTATCCCAATTAAAGATGTTTTATTTTACGAATTTACTTTTAGAGAAGGGAGAAGAGAGGGAGAAAAAGAGGAAGAGACACATCAACGTGGAAGAGATTTGGTTTTACTACCCCAGTTGGGGACCTGTCCTGCAATCCAGGCATGTGCCTGACTGGGAATCAAACCGGAAGCCTCTCAGTTCGCAGGCCAGTGGTCATTCCACTGAGCCACAGCAGCCAGGGTTCTGTATTTCAATTAAATAGAATGTTTCTTATTCTTTATTTATTCACCAGTACATATTTTTTACTATTCAAACTAATGATAATAGAAGTAGGACTCAAGATAATCACTACAATTATTTTATATAGCCCTTTGAATATAAGTTTTTAAGGCATTCCTTGTTTTTTTTTCCCCATTTGGACATACAGGTATTCAGAACAGCATCTGGACTTAAAAAAAAAAGTCAGTGATATCCTAGTTCTATAGGCATTCTAGACCCAAATAAGAATCAGGCTAAATCTCCAGCCATTTTCCATCTCAGCTTTACCTTTCTTCGTGAAAGCAAATCAAACTACAGCATACTTTTACTTGATTACTCTGAAATTTCTTAATTTTTTACTTCTTTTTTTTTTTGCTTAACAGGTATATATTTTCCCCCGGGCTGCCATCTTTCATAGTGAGGATGCACTCAAGGAATCAGCAAACATGCTCAATAACATGCGTGTCTACGGCACAGCCTTCTTAGTCCTCCTGGTGTTGGTGGTATTCATAGGCGTGCGCTACGTGAACAAGTTTGCCTCGCTTTTTCTGGCCTGTGTCATTGTGTCCATCTTGGCTATCTATGCTGGAGCCATCAAGTCATCTTTTGCCCCTCCACACTTCCCGTACGTGTCTGACTCTCTAACTCACCATTACTGTTGGGTAGTCATGGCCAAAACCTAATGATCTGAGCATTTTTAAGTCAGAATTTTACACTCTCTGAAATTTCTCTTTCAGATAGGCCAGGTTGGCATCTAGTCAGGGTGCCTCCCAGCAGACTGCCTAGTTTGTTTATCTTCCTTGTTGATCCTCTTCCTTATGTCCCAAGCACAGAACAGGCAGCTATAACTGTCATTTTACTATAGAGACTTATAGAGGTTTCTTCAAAACCCTCTGACAATGATTGTGCATATTTGAACTATTTATGAAGAGCTTTTCAAACGGTATAAGTTATTGCCAGAAACCTTTATAAACTGTTTAAATGTTGGATTCTTTTTACTAATGAAAAATCAAGAATCAAAGGAAACCTAAATTCCTACCTAAGTATTGGTAATTCATTAAATTTTTAATTCTGTTAGTACCATAATGGACTTCCTAGTCATAAAATGAAAAATAAATGTAATTATTTTCATTTATCTCTCAGTATTAAGTTATATTATACACCATAAGTAGTTCAGGTATTTTAAAGTATATTTTTGGAGCAGTAATGGGTGTGTGTAGATACGTGACTCACAGGCTCAAGTGTTTTCAATTACCTAGTAGCAAAGGGACTAAGCAGCACTGTTATTTGTAATATTGTTACAGAGATCGTCTTTGAAATGACATCTGATTCATCTAGGGATTAGATTCATCAGTCCTGTGTTGATTTAACCCAAATACAGAAAAATAGATTTTTTAAGATGAAAAATTAATTTCATAGAGATTAAATTGCCCCAAAGTTAATTAGTAGCAGAGCAATAACATGAACCCTGTGATTTTCTGATTCCTAGTCCAGTATTTTTTCTGTTATGCTAAATGATGTCACCAATAGGTCCCATCATTCTTTTTTAATCTGCTCATCTATGGACTACAGAGCAGCTGAAGATCCATTTAGAGTCATAAAAATGGCTTCCTCTGGCTATATCGTAACTTGTAAAATTCCATTTGCCTCTAATTCTCTTTTGATGCTTCTCTTTTGTGGTGGATAAAAAGTCATAATGTGTGGCATTTTCTTTAAAATATTCCAGCAAAAATAAGATAAAAAACCTAGAGGAATGCATGAAACAAGACTGGGAAATATTAAAAGTTATTGAAGCAGAGTAATGAGTACATGGTTCATTATGTATGCTTGCTATCATTTTGCAGATTTTAAAAGTTGCTTTGTTCCTCTTGAAAGGTATTTAACTGTGGGTGTATTATTCCTTTGTTCATATTTATATCTCCGGGTTAAAGAAAAAATAAAATCAGCGATGAATGTTTGTATTATCCTTAAATACCCTCACTCCCACTGGGTCCAGGCTTAAGTTCAAAAACAGTTTTCTCTTAGGCCACTGGGGTATGTGCTTTTGAATTCTAGCCAAGCTGTCTCCCTCCAAACAATAGCCAGAGGTTTGACCTTTAGCCAAACATTTTCAAGGGGTTTACTTTAAACAAGGCTTGTCTAGGCCAAAAATAAAATTAGGGGAAATTTTTTGTGTGGCAGAAAAAGACCCTACAATTCTTTTATACCTAACGATTGGTTAATAACCTAGAAATTTTGGAAGATGAGTCAGCACAGTATATTCAGACAGTCCTTGTCTCTGAATTTTATTGCTACCATTTGCCATCCGTTTGACCTCGTGCAGACTACTTTATTTCCCTAAACTTCAGTTCCTCCATCCACAAAATAAAAATAATACATATTTTGTGAGATTTCTTTAAGGATTAAATTGGCAGAAAATGTAAGTCACCATTTACAGTACTAGTTAATAAATACTTTTTTTCCTATCCATGACAGTGAACCTCTTAGAATTCTATTTATTATTTACTAACCCATTTTTTTTATCTTTTTTCTTTGCTTCATTTTTCTCCCTGTTTGTTTTTACTTAGGGTCTGCATGCTGGGTAACCGCACCCTTTCATCAAGACACATTGACATTTGCTCAAAGACCAAGGAAACGAACAACATGACAGTGCCGTCCAAGTTATGGGGCTTCTTCTGTAACTCAAGTCAATTTTTCAATGCCACCTGTGACGAATATTTTGTTCATAACAATGTCACATCAATCCAGGGCATTCCTGGATTGGCTAGTGGTGTCATTACAGGTAATTTGGGGGGGGGGGTTTGGACAAGATTTTCCTTTTTCTCTGAGGAAAATGGGCTTTGCCATCTTAGACTCTTCCATAGTCTGTGAAGACTCACTGCCAGGGGTGACTTCCCCCTTCAGCCCAGCATACAACTCTTAACTCGACATCTTTTTGCTTTTCTGTCAGTGAATTTATTCCTTTTCAGGGCTCCCTACAAGTGTTGCCTGTTAAAAATTACCTCCTTTTGAGAATGGAACTGAGAAAATCACCTTTTAACCTAGAACAAGATAATAAAATATTCTTTGTGTTACTGTGAAATCGCTGATGCCCTTCCCGTGGTGACAGCTGGAGTGTAACGGTTTTAGTGCCACCACGTCCACATGTGTCCTTTCCCAACGCAGCTGGATTTCTGAACCTCTTTCCTTAAGTGATTTCTATTTGACATGTTTGGTCCACAAATTCTTTGCACATAAGCAAGTTTACACTAAGAAACAGCATTGATAACTAATAAAAAATAGGCTTTGTGGGACATTTAGCTTTAGTCTGCTTAAGTTTTACTAATTTGCATTAGCAAACTTGACTTGTATGTTCCAAAGCATTTTGTCAAATTGTATTTGAACCAGATGAGAAAGGGCATTGTTGTTTTATTATGTGTGTTTTATTGTACAAAATGCATGTGCATATATATGTGCTCATTGGAAGCAAATATACCTTTAAAAACTATGTAATGGGGAGTCTGATTTAGAAAATCATGTGGGTAGAAAATGATCTAATTCTCTTCTTTCCTTAGTGCTGCTGCTTATATCCCCCTTTTTCCCACTGCAGAGAATCTTTGGAGTAATTATCTACCGAAGGGAGAGATCATTGAAAAGCCCTCAGCCAAATCTTCTGATGTCTTAGGCAGCTTAAACCACGAGTATGTCCTTGTTGACATTACCACCTCCTTTACACTTCTGGTGGGCATCTTCTTTCCCTCTGTCACAGGTGAGCATTTGGGCTGTTGTCTGTTTTAGAGCAGTCAGACACAAGGAGTGATTTTTCTCAGGAGACAGAATTATATTCTCAGAGTTCCTCGATTTGTGTTCAGTATCAGTATGAATATCAAAGTGTTCAGGAATTCAAGAAGTTAACTTGTTCTTTTTTCTTCCCTAAAGGCATCATGGCTGGATCAAACCGATCTGGAGATCTGAAAGATGCTCAAAAGTCTATTCCCATTGGCACTATCCTTGCCATCCTGACCACCTCCTTTGTCTGTATCCTTTTCATGGACCCAGCCTGAGTCTTAGTTACAGGAACATCCAGAGGAGCCAGGGTGATTAGTGTTTTTGTCCTGGTAAGAAAGATATGTTTTTCTACCACTTCAGTTCTCACCAGATAATCTACCCACCTCATCTTTAAAATACAAGAAAGGATTTATAGGATGAGTAAATGTAGCAACTAATTTTACTGATAGAAGAAATATCCTGAGTGTCTACTTTCTACCTCATTTTAGAGGGTGAATGTCAGTTTCCTTGACTCTCAACACAATAGATTTAAGCAACGTTGTCCTTTTTGGCGCATGTATTGAAGGCGTTGTTCTCAGAGACAAGTGAGTAGTTTATTCTTGTAATAACCTTGTCTGTCTTCTGTCATGTCTGATCATCCCACATAATCCAAAGACTCAAAACTCAAAACCCAATCTGAGGTATCTAATATCATGACTAAGAATTAGGAAATACATGTGTAGTCTGTAGTTCCCAGAAAAGAATAATAAGGGCCAGTATGTTGTCAAAAATAGGTGAAATGCAAAAAAATTTAAAAATATGAAATGCAATAAATATAGCTCTCTGATGAAGTAGTGAATTTGTCTGAACAATAAGAACTTTTCTGTACATTAAGGGGTGCTGGGAAACCGAGACCGAAAGTAAGGAAGGCAAGGGCAAGAGAACTGTCAAGTGTCTCTAGCATCCCCGCTATGAGGCATAAGTATGCTGTTTGGCATTCTAAATAAATGCTTGAAACTTTCTTCATGAAGGCTGCTAAGTGTTTTTCTTTCCTCTCACTTATGAGTATAAAATGTGTTTTTGTAGGAAATTCCTAGAAAAAAACTTTCCCTGAAACCTGCTCTATCTCTTCCCATTTCCTCTGTCTTGGGGAGTTAATAGTCTCACCATTTACCCCTTTTACAGAAACCTAGGTGGCACCTTAGATTTTTTCCCACCAATTCCCTCATCTAATTATTGTATTTTCTAAGCCCTGTAAATTCCACCTTTCATCTTAATAGATCTTACTCTTTCCATTATTCTTTTTCCTCCTGTCATTTTATATAGGGCTTCAGGATCTTTTGTAATAATCACCCTTTCAGTTTTACCACTTTCTAGTAATCCTCCTTCCCACGCTGCCTCCAGAACGATTTTTCTAAAACACAAAATTTGGTCACACAAACCTTCCTGCTTCAGAGTCCATCAGAGCTGTTGAAAACCCATTACTTTGCTCTGGTCCTGGCCACCTTTTTCTAATCTCATTTCCTGCCATTCCATCATAAACTCCCTATGCTCCAAACTTAAATGTATCTTGTTTCGGATCTCCATCCATCCACACATTTATTTGCTTTCCTCTGCTTGGAATGGGTGATTCCCACCTGCCAGACTCATATTCACCCTCTACAAGTAGACTAAGTGTCTCCTATCCTATGAAGCTTTCCCAGACTCAGGTATATATTTCCCAAACAGAGATAACCACTCCTCCCTTTGTTCAACCACTGTATTGAACATTCTGTATTATCACACTTACCATACCATATTGCAACTACTAGATTGAGTTTTTTGAGGACAGGAGCCCTAACACAGACATACCTAATTTTACTGTACTTCATAGATGCTGAGTTTTTTACAAGTTGAAGGTTTATGGCAACCTTGTATCAAGCAAGTATGTCAGTACCGTTTTTCCAATAGCATTTGCTTACTTCGTGTCTGTCACATTTTGGTAATTCTCATAATTATTTCCAACTTTTTCATTATTTGTTTTAATGATCTGTGATTAGTGATCTTTGATGTTACTATTGTAATTGTTTTGGGCTACCACAAAGCATGTCCATGTAAGACTGCTAACTTGATGCATACCTATTCTGTGTGTTCTGACTGCTCCATTGACCTGCAATTCCTTCATCTCTCCCCCTCTGCACAGGCCTCCCTATTCCCGGAGACACACCAATATTGAAATTAAGCCACATAGTATCTCAACAATGACCTCTAAGTATTCAAGTGAAAGAATTGCATGTCTCTCACTTTAAATCAAAAGCTAGAAGTGCCCGGCTGGTGTAGCTCAGTGGATTGAGCGCAGGCCTGCAAACCAGAGTATCGTGGTTCGATTCCCAGTCAGGGCACATGCCTGGGTTTCAGGCCACTTCCCAGCAGGGGATGTACAAGAGGCAACCATACATTGATATTTCTCTCCTTCTCTCCTTCTCTCCTTCTCTCCTTCCCTTCCCTCTTAAAAAAAATCTTTTAAAAAAGCTAGAAGTGATTAAGTGTAGTGAGGCAGACATGTCCAAAGCTGAGATAGTCTCTCGTACCAGTCTGAAGTTATTCCCAGAATAAATTTCCCCACTCTCACTTCTCTCTCAGGTTTGGGGATGCAGTGAAAGGGAACCTGGTGGTAGGTACCTTATCTTGGCCGTCCCCATGGGTGATTGTTATCGGCTCCTTCTTCTCAACATGTGGGGCCGGACTGCAGAGCCTCACAGGCGCACCACGGCTGCTACAGGCTATAGCAAAGGACAACATCATACCCTTTCTGAGGGTGAGTGACCCTTTTTTGTGCCCTCTTCCTTTTTTCTCAAGTCTTATGAGAAACGGTGTGCTCTTTATAGGCTTAGAAATTACTAGATCATATAATAGGAAGATATGTAGGTTTTTATTATAATACTAAATTCATAGTATAAGTTTATATGTGAGTTGAATAAAGGTGTTTAAAAGATCGTACAGTTGTAACAGTATTATCTTCAGATATTATCTATAGATATCAAAACTGTAGCACTGACTCTAATACTCCCTACACTCCTATATCTGATACTTCCCTTCTTTATATAGGTTTTTGGTCACAGTAAAGCCAATGGGGAACCTACCTGGGCTTTACTTCTGACTGCTGCCATTGCAGAGCTGGGAATCCTTATTGCCTCTCTGGATCTTGTGGCTCCAATTCTTTCCATGTAAGACCCAGTTATTATCTTTACTTATTCTTGCTTGTGTAGTGTATAATACATGTTGATTTCCATCAGGCATAAAACAGTAGTGATAACAGAGTGAGCCAGGTACAGGTGTAACTTTACCTACATAATAAATATTCCCGAGAAGTTTCATGTATGGCCAATTGCCATAATTTCTTCCTGCCATGTAACTTCAAATATTCTTTGCCTTCATTTCTGACCATTATCAATTAATGGTAGTATATACTACTACTGTTAGCTTTTTTCATTCCACTGTGACTTACTGATAACTTACTACTTACAGGGCACTGGGCATTAATTATACTAGGAATAAGAGATGAAGGAAGTCATGGTAGATGAAGGAAGCAATGATCTCTGCGTAGTGTGATTAGTGCTGTGGTACAAGTGTACACTGAGTGCCAGAAGGCTCTTCAGTGAGGCATCTACATGGACTGAGACTCCAGAAAGATGTTCTGGATGGAATGACACTTGTCTCTTGAAGGACTGGTTATTTGCTAAGCAACAAAGGTATTCCAGGCAGAGGATGTGTGTGAACAAATTGAGGGATGAAATAATGCAACACACAGCCTAACTGAAAGCAGTTAGGCTCTGATGGAGAAGAGGGTACATGTTGGGAAGCATCAGACCAGAGAAGCAGGTAGGGCCAGATCACAGAGTACCTGGAACTTTCACCTGGGAGAACGGGGTAGCACTTTGAAAACAAAATGATTATGTTTTAAAATGATCATTTTGGTATAAAACGTAGATTGGAAGTAAGCTGAAATTGAGCTAGGAATGCCAATTGGAAGCCTATTTAACTAGCAGAGAATCAAGGAGAGTCTGAACTAAGGTGATAGTGGTAGAGGTTTTTATTTACTTGTTTTTTTAATGATTTTATTTATATATTTTTAGAGAGGGGGGAAGGGAAGGAGAAAAGAGATGGAGGGAAACATCAATGTGTGGTTTCCTCTTGCATGCCTCACACTGGGGACCTGGCCTGCAACCCAGGCATGTGCCTGTCTGGGAATCGAACCAGCAACCCTTTGCTTCACAGTCTGGCACTCAGTACACTGAGCCACTCGAGCCAGGGTAAAGGTAGAGATTTTTAAATACACAGAACCCATAGCACTTGATAAGTGAATTTGGAACAAGGATGAGAAAAAAAGAACACCTAGGTGAAGAGTGGTTGTATCATTGCTGAGAAGAGAGCATGAGAGAGTCAGCAGGTTTGCTGGGAGAATTTACGTTTCTCTACTTGCTAGTCTTAATCAAGTTAGTGGGTTAGAGCGAAGGTATCAATACAGCAAAGGTATTTAAAATAGCCTTTGAGGAATCATTTTACAGTAATAATTATTTCTCTTTTTTATTCTGCTAGGTTTTTTCTCATGTGTTACCTCTTTGTAAACTTGGCATGTGCCTTGCAAACATTGCTTCGAACGCCCAACTGGAGACCTCGGTTCCGCTACTACCACTGGTAAGTCCGCTTAAGAACTTTCTCACCCCCAAATTCAGAGAGAGCCCACCACTGAACTTAGAAAACTAGGAGATTCTGGAATCTTGATACAATCTTTGTCTTGGCTAACTATTTCAACTTTCAATGCTCACCTGAATTCCCAATACTACCATATATTTCATATGCTTTGTAATAATTGATAATACCCATTTGTGAATAAAGACCAAAACTATAAAATAAGTATTTTCATCCTGCCTCATTCTTCGGGTTAAAACAACTTTCCCTTTGCACTCTTTTTCCATTTCCCTCTTAGCTAAGCACTGGACTTCACTGCTTTCAATCTGTGCTGTTGTATTCTCATCAGTTTCATTGTCAAGCTTTTTTCCTTATGAAAATTGCATTTAGTAGTTAAAAGTATGAGCTGTGGGATCCAGTAACCTAAATTGAAATGCCAGCTCTACTATTTCCTAATTTTGTAGCCTTCAACAAAGCACATAACCAAAAAATTTCTTTTTACTGTTTGTAAATGGGACTAATAGTATTACCTATCTCATAGGGTTGTTTTTGAGACACTCTAAAGTGCTTACTTAGCGCAGCGCACACTATGTACTAATGTGCTCAATGAAATGCTGCTGGTGTGTTCAAGTCCCCTCTGTCCTACAGGAGCCATCATGTTTTTAGCTACCACACCCGTTCCCATTTCTTTTCTTTCATAGCAAAAGTTAATATGTCCTGTATGTACTTGTTCTCTAACAATCCTATATTTTCATTAAATCCTAATCTCCACATTAGCAGCTCTTATTTATTCTTTAAAATGAATTACAGAGCTAAGAAGTTCATTGCACAGAAGAACTTGAGTAAATGTAGTGTCTAATTCATTGTTATTATATTTTACTCAAGTTCTGTCTGCAGTGATCTCACCACAGTTTAAAAAGCCTGTACCGTCTAGTACAGGCTTCTTTTTTAGCTACTTAGAAGAACGCTTTTTTGTTTCTGTTTTTGTTTTCATTTTTCTAGGGCCCTTTCTTTCATGGGAATGAGTATCTGTCTGGCTTTGATGTTCATTTCTTCCTGGTATTATGCCATCGTAGCTATGGTAATAGCTGGTATGATCTACAAGTACATTGAGTACCAAGGGTGAGTCTGTGGATTTGACCTTGATCACTGCTAAAAATATCAAAACTGGCTAGTTGGTTAGAGCCAACCCAAAGAAAATTGTATTAGGCTCCAGATAACTTTATTCATAACTAAATTTTGTACCCCTGATGATTCTCTAAACTATCCTATAGGCACAGCTTTTAATTGCAAGGGGAACCTGTTAAGAAAGTATGAATGGATTGATAAAAAATTAGTTAAAAGGACATATTCAAATAATAATGAGTATTAAACAAGTTATAACACAAATATAAATAGCTCTTTAGTCAAGGGATCACTCTGAAATTAAAAAGAAGTTAGTCCTGAATAACTTTGTAACAACTAATATTTGACAAAATTTATAAAAATCAGCAATAAATAACACTGACACAGAAGATTACATTGAATAAACTTTTCCCATTATTTTCAAAATAAACTTCGCATCTGTATTAATTTTCCAATTCAGTTTGCTGTTTTACACGATTGCTTTTGAGTAGTTATAGAAAAGGACGAGTGAGTGACCCTTCCAGCCTTTATTCTTCATGGGGGCACATTACAGTCTGTTGAGGAACATTAATGGTGATCTGTTTACAGGGAGTTTAGTAAAGAGCATTATGTAGATCATTAATATGAGTTTTTATCTTCTACCTTGTGCATACATTACTTTTAGATTCTGAAAAAGTAAACCTAATTTTTTGAAATTGTACTTGCTGTGGTTTAAATCTGTTCCCTCTCTTTTCTCCTTTTCCTTCCAGAGCTGAGAAAGAATGGGGTGATGGTATCCGTGGGCTGTCCCTCAGTGCAGCTCGCTTTGCTTTGCTTCGCCTGGAGGAAGGACCTCCACACACTAAAAACTGGAGGTAAATAAGGGGTGGGGAGAGGGCAAAATGGGTAAAAGGGGTCAAATATATGGTAATGGATAGACACTAGACATTTGGTGGTGAGCATGCAATAGCATATACAGATATCAAATTAGAATGTAGTATACCTGAAATTTATATGATGTTATTAATCAGTTACCCCAGTAATAAATTTTTTTTACTATAAATAACAGACTTTTAGAAGGAGAATGGAACAGAGCTTTAGTGGTGTGTGGCATATAATTGCACACAGAAATGTGTGTGTCATTGATACAGGATAAGGAAATCCTGTGGCTCAAGGAATTGGTGTAAGGGACCTGTTTTGAACTGTCCCATATCCTTGATTTCTTTCTTCATTTTTCTTCATGTGATTTATGATCTAGATTTTTACCATTTTTATTCTTCCTTGAAGATTCATCAATTTGAGATAATACTGGAAAGATTCAAAATAATTCTATACTCTTGTGACTTCTAATCTCTTCCTTCTGTCAAATTACATGTTTTTATATAGATCTCCTGAATTAAGGGATAGAATTGTCATTCTGTTCCCCTAACCCAGTGTTTTCTCGCCCACACCACATCCCTCACTTCTACTCCACCCCTACCAATTTCTTTACAGGCCTCAGTTGCTCGTGTTGCTGAAACTAGATGAAGACTTACACGTCAAGCATCCTCGCCTCCTCACCTTTGCTTCACAGCTTAAAGCAGGAAAGGGTCTTACTATTGTAGGCTCTGTCATTGTGGGGAACTTCCTGGAGAACTATGGTGAAGCTTTAGCTGCTGAACAGGTAAGAGTCTAGGCTTACTGACTCAGTGGAATTTAGCTAAAGGATTTGTGATGTTGAATGTTAAGACCTCAGATATCCAAGTTAATCCCTTTCCTGAGTAATCTAGGATATTTCTCTCTAAATGCTGTCTTTTGAATAATCATATTATCCCCAATAAGATGAGCCAGAATATCAGTAATGTATTTTCTTCTTATTTAAAGCATTACTGAACTATAAGATTATTGAGGCTAAGCACTATGGCCAGAAGACTCCAAACATTAACTCATCCCTGAGAGTCATGTAAATAAATCTGCCCTTTGGAAGATGGAGATGGTTTTTCTCAATCCGGTGTTAACAAGGAGCAATGAGCAACCCTTCTTCCTGTTGACTAGTCTGCATGGTATCATGAGCAAGATTTCTTTGCTGCTTCTGATTAGCTTACTTAATATTAAAGTTCTGCCCGAAGAATAAAGTCATTTTCACTCTAATTCTTCTTATAAATAATAGAATTAGCCATTTGTTTAGGGACATTTTCAATTACATTTCAAAATTTATACTGTATTTCATTTTGGAATGCTTTGAAACCTTAAGCACTAGAAATCCTGAAAATGCATTAGTCCAGAATGATGGTAAAAATAAATAAAAAACACAAGATTGGAAATCAAGAGACTCTGTATAATATCCCAGCTATACTACTAACTTAATCTGATCCTTTAGGAAAATCATATCCATTTTCCACATCATTATTCCCTTCACCTTTCCACCAACATGGTAGAGAAAGAGTAAATGAAATATCATCTCAAGGAGACTAAATTGCAATAGAAAAAAATATAAAGATTAAATCAAAAAAAGAAATATCACCTCCAAATTGGCTTGGATAAGTAAAAGAAATGTAAAGCAAATGCAAATATCATCAATAATCACCATTAAAATGTCAAAAAGAATATGGAAACAGGAGAGACAAAAAAGAAAACATACCTGAAAAAATTCTAAAGTGAATCTGAATTACCACATTAAATTTCTAGTAATATGAGTCCGGGCATGCCTGATGGAGGAAGGAGATCGTGGTCACAGTCACCCTTGTCAATTAAGAAAGAATATTGACGATTCATTTTGTGAAGATCCCTATTGTCAATTTTGGGGGTATGTTAAGGGAAAAAAGCAAACTAGAGGAAAAGACAGGAACTACATGTAGACAACCACCTGTACGTATAGTTAGCCCTTAGCGAATAAGACAGTGGATCACGAAATTTCATTGGGATGACTTTAACTTTTGGACTTTTCTGTAGGAGATAGGGTCTTGGGCAGAGTTTAGAAAGAAGAAGGAAATTAGAGGAGTAATAAGTTAAAAGGTCCAGGATGAAGCAATTCAGTATTGAAGTTATGTCTCTCTTTCAGACCATAAAGAACCTAATGGAGGCAGAGAAGGTAAAAGGATTCTGCCAGCTGGTGGTGGCTGCCAAGCTGAAAGAGGGCATTTCCCACCTGATCCAGTCGTGTGGCCTTGGAGGCATGAAGCACAACACCGTGGTGATGGGGTGGCCTAATGGCTGGCGCCAGAGTGAAGATGCTCGGGCTTGGAAGACTTTTATTGGTACAAAACACTTTTCATACTATCCCACAGGCCCACACAGGGGATGCAGCTAAATACTGCTACCCTCATCCCATCCCCTAGCCTCCTAAGTAGAGCCTATGCCCTTGCTGAAGCATGATCTTGTAAGGGCACCTAAATAACCGCTAGTAGTAATAACCTTATTCTACTTACCCCCTCTAGCTTTCCATTATGTTCATGAATTTTTATCTCTGTCAAGTCTTATGTTAGGAATTATCTCTAAAATTGACATTTTCATTTGTCAATGTTAAATTCTCTTAGGAATCGCAAGGAATGACCCTCAGCTTCAAAATCTCCCAAATTCCCATATCCCCCCTTAGAAATGTAGTAAACAGAATCTATCTAGTAATATACATCATGACATTCAATATAATTTTCTTAGCTTTTTTTCTCAGTGATTTTTTGGTTACTCGCTGAGGTACAACCTACTATGTAAATAGGACACTTGCTCAAAGAAATGTGAAAGATTATCCTTGCTTTCCTGTCATGGTAGGAAGCAGGGCGTTCTTAAGGCTTCTTCTCCGCTAATCCTCTCTTCTTTCTCCCTAGGCACAGTTCGAGTGACAACTGCTGCCCACTTGGCCCTGCTAGTGGCGAAAAACATCTCGTTCTTTCCTAGTAACGTGGAGCAGTTTTCTGAGGGCAACATCGATGTGTGGTGGATTGTGCATGACGGGGGGATGCTCATGCTGCTACCATTCTTACTCAAACAGCACAAGGTATCTCGGACTTCTTGTTAAAAAGTCTTTCTTCCTCCACTTCTGTCCTGTTTATTTGATAAATTATTCCTCTCTCATTACATAGTGTTGGGGGTTAGAATTAGAAGACTTGGGGATTATTTTTGGCTCTCCCATGATAACTGGTTTCAACCTCATGAGGAATATTTTCTTCGTGGTTGATATTTACCTATCTCCAAATGAAATTATGTAAATTAATAGTTCTATATGGGCCTTTGGATAAAACATTAACAAGTAAACACATTCTTTAAAAAAAGAAAAGACCAGCCCTGGCCAGATAGTCCAGCTGTTTAGAGCGTCGTCATGATGTTCCCAGGTGGTCGATTCAGTCAAGGGTACGGATCACAAGGGTAATCACCCACTGAGTGCACGGATAAGTGGAACGAGTCAGTGTTTTGCTCTCCTTCTGGCCCTTTGTCGGTCTCTCTCTAAAAATCAATAAATACATAAATTAATTTTAAAAGAGACCAAGGTCTCAAATTTTGAAAATCCAGGGGTGTGTGTGTGTGTGTGTGAGAGAGAGAGAGAGAGAGAGAAACTGAAATTTTAAATAATAGTTTATATGCATGGTGTCATCAGTATGCTACTGAATAAAGCACCCGCTTAATGTACCACATGCCATCTTTTTCTTTTTGCCAGGTGTTTTCTTGTTATGAAATTAAGAGCTCCATAAAACATTATTTAATGTTTTCCTCAGTCAAGCTCTTGCCCTAATACAGTAACATTGCAAGTAGGAAGCTAGGAACCAATACCCTGATAATAGCAAGATGTTCTTAGGGGAAAATGCCTTGTGTTTTAAGAAGTAGCTCACTTTTGCCTTCTCATATCAGATTTTTCATGTATGTGTGGTACTTTCTCAGGTGTGGCGAAAATGCAGCATACGGATCTTCACAGTAGCCCAACTAGAGGACAACAGTATTCAGATGAAAAAGGACCTGGCCACCTTCCTGTATCACCTGCGCATTGAGGCAGAGGTAGAAGTGGTGGAGATGGTAAGAAAGCTGAGTCTGGTATCAAAGAAACCCTTCCTCCACCCTCCCCCATCCTGTCTTCCTAGTTCCTTTTCAGGTTTGGGAAATTCTTCAGCTGCAAATATGTATCAATCCTTAGTTCCAATATAATCCTAATATATTGATCTAGATAAGTGGAATGTGTATGTGATATGTGTTTGATGGTTTTTAAATTTTTGTTCTTTGTTACATAGCCCTCAAATTTCTGTCAGATTCTTGTCTGCTTAATATAATTTGTTTTCATTAATATAATCATGCTAAAATCGCAGACACTTTTCAATAACCTAGCAGTACTTTTTTTAAGCGCTAGCATTTGTGTTTTATATTTTATGGAAACACATATGTAATGGTTAGATTATGGAAAAGATTCTCAGGGCTTCTGAATTTGATCTATAATCCACAATATTGTATTTATGTAGCTCAATGACTAAACAAAATAGGGATGAATCTTAGGTCAATATTGTGATACTTTCTCTGCTTAATTTAGTGAGTGGAAATCAAAGTACTGGTTCATCCTTCTTTCTCCTTTGTGCTTATTGCCCACCTTGCTATTTGTGGCAGCATGACAGTGACATATCAGCTTATACTTATGAACGCACTCTGATGATGGAGCAAAGGTCCCAGATGCTCCGGCACATGCGACTCTCCAAGACAGAGCGGGACAGAGAGGTAAGACCTTGCTGCACTCGTCTAATCCTGGCCCTATAAAGTCTGTCACTGAAAGGGATGATACTGTGTTTTTTATAAGATGACAGATTCTTTCCTCCTCACTGTATCAGTTATCCCACTACAATCACATTATTGTTACAAAATAATTGAAAGATGAAGCATGAAAGAAATATGGGTATAGAGTCAGAGTTGTGTTGGGCCTTCCGCAGGCACAGTTGGTAAAAGACCGGAATTCAATGCTACGATTGACCAGCATCGGCTCTGACGAGGATGAAGAGACAGAAACTTATCAGGAGAAGGTGCACATGACCTGGACAAAAGACAAGTACATGGCATCCCGGGGGCAAAAGGCCAAGTCAATGGAAGGATTCCAGGACCTGCTTAACATGCGCCCGTAAGTTTTCCAACTCATAAGCTTATCACATAAGATCCTAGTCAGTGCAACATATGTGACTTTACCAGGATACCCATTTCACCCCAAATTTAGCCATCTCTCTGTTGTTTGCCTGTGCATATCAGCTACCAATTAACATTATACACACGTTAACCATTGCTCTTCTCTATACTGTGTTCCTGGTATAAAACAAGCAAATATAGAATGAAAAAACCCAAGATATTAATATTATAAGGAAATCATTTTGTTCATTATATTATTCATACTCAAAACAAAAAAAGCTTATAGATCAAGTTTTTGAAGGTTGTTAACTCTATGCCTAGTTTTCTGTTTACCTTAACCACCTTTCTTTCCCGTCGTCCTTCCTGCCCCTTTCCCTCCCCAGCGACCAGTCCAATGTGAGGCGGATGCACACAGCAGTGAAGCTCAATGAGGTTATAGTTAACAAGTCCCATGAAGCAAAGCTGGTTTTGTTGAATATGCCAGGGCCACCCCGAAACCCTGAGGGTGATGAAAACTGTATCCTTTCCAAGAGTGGAGCTACCAGTAAGGAAAATATTAGCTTGTTTTTCAGGTGAGACTACTAGATAACTGTAAAAGTCATTATCTCTGCCAAAATTTCCTTCTTGAGGAGAGAAAACTTTTAAAAGTCTTAGCCAAGGATTCTTACAAAGCAGTGAGATTAATCTTCTTTTAGAGTTGGGAGTGTAATATGTTCTCTTGGAACCCCAAAGTCTTTTAAATGGTATATTTTCAACATTACTTCTACTGTGTACAGAACCCTTTCCGACATTCTTAGAGATGGAATACCCACATCCTTTCTTTTTTTCAGGCTCTCTGCATTTGCAGAGCCTCTTTCTTTTGGATGGTGTGAGGGGAGAAGCAGTTGAAGTGGACCCTCTGAAGGAAAAAAAAGAAAGATAAAGGTTCTTTCTTACACTCTGATCCCAGAAATTTTGTGGGACCGCTTCCGCACTGCAGTGGTATTGACGGACCCATTCCCACCAGTACTACTAAGGAAAAGAGATGTTTAAGAAAGCAAAAAAAAAAAAAAAGCTGGCAGAAAAATTCAACTTGAGCAGCCTCACTTAAAAATTACTTGGGTTCTCTCTAGGAGTCTTAACAAGCTGCCCTGTTGTGGCTTTTCCTTTTTTTTTCCTGGCTTATTTTGCTACATAACGCATTATTTGTGGGTTTTCCCTGTTAAAAAATATTAAGGAAAAAAATCTACCAAACGAGATCTTTTTTTTAAAGATCTTTTTGGGAAAGTCTTTTTTTTTTAATTGTTAGAATTTTTATTCTAACAATTCTGTAGTCTTTTTATTATTATTTCTACCAGAACAATCAATTGTAGCAACCACTTGGTTTCCCAAAGATTTTCCCTCAATCAGTATTCCATGCTAAGCAAAAATAAATGAAAATAAATATATATATATATTGCCACTGTATTCATGCACTGCCACTATCAGTTATCAAGCTCTTTAAATGTAAGTAGACTAGATTCCCATCTTTGAAAGAGTGTTTCCCAGTACTGCTTCTGATACAAAATTCCTTATCAGGCACGGCTGAGTGAGAACAGAAACCACTTTAGAAGAGATTAAGTACCTACAAAACCTAATTAGGGAACTAGGGTCTCATAGAACCACTGGAAGTCATATACGCAAAGGGACTAGATCCCTGGATTGATTCATAGGGTGAAACTGAATTACAAAGTACAGTCTTGTAAATCTGAGTATGCAGTAATTAAAACAAGCCTGTTGATGTTATACTTTTGTAATCACATCAACTCTGATTATGATATACCTGGGTGTAAAGTGTCCTCTTTTGCTTATTTGTCTCCTTAACTAATTCTGAAGACATGGAGTTCCTGGAAGTGCTCACTGAGGGACTAGAGCGAGTCCTTCTTGTCAGAGGTGGTGGCAGTGAAGTGATCACCATTTATTCATAATCTACTCCTGAATGACTCTGCTTGGCTTCATCTCTCTTAAAAGGCTTCCGTCCTCCATGGAAGTGCCAGCTCTTTACTACCATGCCCACCAACTAGAGGCCTGTGTTCTGTACACCTCACCTGAGTGAACTTGATGAGCTGAACATCAAGATCTTGTGCAGAGAAGTAAAAATAGTTCTGCTCTTTGCTCCCATATGATCTGCTGTCCTTACAAAAGAATCTAATATTCCCTCAACATTAGAAAAATGGTCAAATCCTAAAGCCATGTTTGTACTAGCTGAAGGCAAGTTAGAATTAACAAGCTAAATCAATAAAACGAATTGGCAGAAAGAGTACTAGAAATTCAACTGAAGACAAAAATCAAGTAATAATTAGAGTAATAATCCAACATGAAAGGTAAGTCCTGGAAGTCATGGTTTCTTGATAACACCATGAGAACAGAGAAATACTAAGGGATTCATGGTCAAGTATATGGAGACCTAACATCCTGGTGAAGGTAACCTGTAGCAAGCCAAGATGAAAACTTTTTTGTGCTAATTGTCTTGAGTGTATCCACTGTTTCCAGGACTCTGGTTTTATGTTCGAGTACTGATGTACAAAACTGAAACATGGCTACAACTTCTACTTCCTCCAAAACAAGATTTTTCCCCAAATACCAGGTTTAAGTACACATACTGGGTTGTTGTGTGTTTCAGCTGTTGTTTTCTCAAAGCCCACTCTGTGATTAAGATTTTAAAACAGGTAGTGTTACCGTGGAAATTGTTTTTAAGCAGTGAAAATTTCTTTCAAATGGCCAAACTAAGGAAATTCTAAAGATAGCTATTAAGATTTACAGAAATATAATCTGGTTACCTATGTGACATGGACAAAACATCTAAGAAATACAGATGATGATGCACATTGACCAATAGGTTCAACTTTGCTTCTCCCTTTTATGCCCTCTGGGTTAGTAGGCACAGGTCAAAAATCATACGAACACTAAGAAGACTGGCTAAAATTTTCCCCCAAACAGTGTCTATCTTTTAAAGGGGAAATCCAGCCATGGAATTAGACGTTCCTGAGCCATACTCCTTCCATAGTGCCAAAGTTACTGAGATGCTGCTACTCTGCTTACCTGCTTCATTAAAGTGGCATACAGTTGGCGTTGGCCTATTTCAAGAAACTTTTTTCACTAAGAATCCTGTGGACTCATTTCTAAAGCCATAGTGAAGACTTGAGGCACTCACCTAAATGCCCAGAGATGCATATTCCCCTTTCAGTTTTATTCTTTATTCTGAGTGCAGAAACTTGGCTCTAAACCAAGAGATTGTCCAAGCCAATCGTCTTCTCCTATTCAAGTTTTGTTTTAGAAGCTTTAAGTGTGTCACAGAAATACATATGCAAGCTTAGCTTTTTATTTGCTAATTTACTGATCACAAAACACCTATCTGGCTTTCAAGCATAGGGAAATTACTCCGTGTGACTAAGTGGTAATTTCAAATATATGAGGTCATTTCTTTTACAGGATAGGTTATTTAGAGAAACTATTTGCCTATATTTGTGGCTGCTTTTGAATTTCACTTTATTGATCAATAGTGCCACTTTTTGATTACCCAATAGGATATGGAAGAAGCTGACCTAGGTGCCAGCAGACTGTCCATTTGACCCTTACAGATAGAGAAAACCCGTCAACATGGCTTAAGAAATTGAGTCATTTCCATTTGTTCCTTTTGCTTTTCTTTCAACCTCTAGGCCCAATCAGGATAGCAAAGCAGACAGAATCTTGTCTTTTATTCTGCTCCTTCCTGCAGAGGGTGGAAGCATTGTTTACAACTTCCATTGCAACACTCCACTGCCTAGTTGAAGACGGGTTCCCCAGGACCCAAAATATTGAAGATCCATGTTCTAAAGGTCAGCCTGCCCAGGAATTCCTCTACATTTACACAGACTCTCTGGCCTAAGCAGCAAAAATAAATGTATACACACGCACATATATATATTGCATATAGAAAAAGTATGGGCAGAAGTTGGTTAGTTTTAAGTTTTTTGTGGTTGAAGTTCTGTAAGAATCTTTTAGAGATAAGGGAATTAGTGGCTACTAATATAGCCACTACTACTTCAGCCCCTAAAACACAAAATCACTGTTACGTGGGAAAATGGTTATTAGGCCAGATTTAAACTCATCTCTGTCTAGAGCATTTCATGTCTTTGTGTTGCTTATGTTGTTTGTCTGCAAAGTGTCTTGTCTCTTTTAATCACTGCAAATAAAGCAATACCGAAAAGATGCACCTTAGGGGAAGGGGTTTTGTGTTTCAAGAAGGAAGAGGAAAAAAAAACTTCCTCTGCCTTCTGATTAAGATCCAGCTTTTAAGTCTTAGCTATGACTTTACCAGGGCAGGTTATAATAACATACATTTTCCAATTGCTGGCCCTCTGCCTTCTATAGCTATCTTAAAAGCTGAAGTTTGTACTGTAGCATCTGCTTGACAGGTACCAGGTCCCTCTTGGCAGGGGAAAGATGACCTCTTTGTATTTTCCATTGCCTCAGATTCCTGTGGCCCCAATGATTCCTCCAATCCTCATTCCCCCTAAACGTGTTAAAAAATCCATTATTGTGGATATTAAAGTAGCAATTACACTGTAAGCCTATTTATCTGCTCTTGTTGTCTGGTTTATTTTTCACTTCATCATGTATAATCAGAATCCAGCATTAGTTTCTCACATCTTATACAAGTGTCTCCAACAGAATTTTTATGTCCTAGCTTGTGTTAAATAGAAGTGAAATATTAAGGAAAATAGATTTAAGGGAAACATGTATAATTTTTTTTAAAGCACTGTTCTTGACCATTTAATTTATTGAAAGGAGATGCTGCTGTGGTCTTGACTTAGCAGCAACCATTCTTTTGTTTACATAGTTATGGTATTATTCGTTGTTTTGCTCTATACTGGAAACATAAATAAAGTTTTCTACATTATTTTCAGTCAAGGGTTGTGGTAGCTTCTTTGTGTTTGTAGTGATAGTACATTCTTTCTAGGGTGTCTCCTCACCATGGAGGAAAGAGTGCTTTTGGTTCTTTCCAGCCTGAGTGATCGTGTGAAGGGTTGATATGCTGAGGAGCCACTGGGCTTAAAGAAGGCTGTATATGTGATCCAAATACATAGGTACCAGGTGCTGTGTTCTCAGGTTCACAAAAGCAGTCCTCCACCACTGAACTCCATCCTCTAAAAGAAGAAAGTAAAATAGGTGAGTAGAAATGAGCAATGAAATTATAAAGGCCTGTTACACATGGCATGGGAAATGAAGCCCAGCCCCCACTCAGAAAGGCCAGTGGGGAGCAAGGTCCAGCACACAGGATCCACGCCCATGGATAAGTTCTCCCATAGGGATTCAGGCCTGCATTGTACCTAGGCTGCTTTGAGTCTTGCTTTTGCTAAAACTCCTTCACCCTGGATTGAAGCTGCAAATGTTTACTGCATATCTCTAAAGTAACTTCCTAAAGTGTGCTAAACCTCCCAAGTATGGAGTGTAACCAGTTCAACCACCTTTCCCCTTGATCTGCAACATCTTTCTCTCTGAAGTAATTAATATTTTTTCCTTTGTTAACTGTAAAAGGTAATCACCTAGAGTGAACCTGTGCATAGTAAATGATGACCATCCTCAATGTAATATATCCAGAAAAGCAATAAAAGCCTGTCCAGGCGGGGGTTGGGGCCCTCTCTCTCACTTAGAGAGCAGCCATGCCGTACTTTTTCTTCACAGGACTTCTGTAGTCCGTGTGAATTTGTCCGTAGCAGCCACAACACATGGGCTTCACGGCTGGAGTCCATGTCAGAAACAACTTCCTGAATCAAGTACTTAATACTTTAACCACGAGTTATTTTATCCTTAAAAAATAACTTCCAGTCCTGACTGGTGTGGCTCAGTGGGTTGGGAGTTGTCCTGCAAACTGAAAGGTCGCCAGTTTGATTCCCTGTCAGGACACATGCCTGGGTTGTGGGCCAGGTCCCCTGCTGAGGGTGTGTGAGAGGCAACCAGTTGTTGTCTTTCTCTCATATCAATATTTCCCTTTCTCCCTTCCTTCCCCTCTCTCTAAGAATAAATAAATAAAATCTTAAAAAAAATAACTTCCAAACTCCTAATGGATCTTATTTCTTAAGAAATGAGCTTGCCCTGGATGGTATGACTCTGTTGGTTGGGTGTCATCCCACAAAGCGAAAGGTCACCGGTTCAATTCCTGGTCAGGGCACATGCCTGGATTGCAGCTTGGTACCCAGTTGGGGTATATATGAGAGGCAATGGATCAATGTTTCTCTCCCTCTCTTTCTCTATCCCTTTCCCTTTCTCTAAAAATAAATAAACTCCTTAAAAAAAAGCTCTAATACCAACTCTAATCCACCATCAAATGGATCATCTATTTACTATCCACTACATCCACTACGTCTGACCCCAGAGTTAACTTTTCTTTTGCCTTACCTCAGGGGGTTCAATGAAGGCTAACCAATCCGATGCATGTGTAGGCAACAGTCCCATGGACTGGCACTTATAAACAGCCAGTGCCAAACCCATGAGGTTCCCAATGAGATACACCAAACCCTGAAGAAACTTCTGGCTTGAACTCTCCAGCATCTTGAAAGCTGTTAGGGTAACAAAGTATCAAAACCACTTTTTAAAAATAACTTTAAAAAAATTATAACTCAGGCCACATATTAAAATAATATAAATAATATGCAGAGGCACACAGTAAAATAGCAAATAGGACAATTAAAAGAATGAGCCCTGGCTGGTGTAGCTCAGTGGATTGAGCGCGGGCCTGCCAACCAGACAGTTGCAGTTCGATTCCCGGTCAGGGCACATGCCTGGGTTGCAGGCTGGTTCCCTGCAGGCCAGTTCCCAGCAGGGGATGCACGAAAGGCAACCATACATTGATATTTCTCTCCCTCTCTCCTTCCCTTCCCCTCTAAAGATAAATAAATAAAATATTTTTAAAAAAAGAATGAGAAAACATGATATGCACTGTTTTCCCTCCATGTCACCACCCTGCACACCCTCCCCCTGCCACTAACCAAGAACCATGCCAAAGATTTGCAATATTGGTTTTGCCTAAGAATTTCCTCCTAGTTCTTCAAACTTTGGGAAGGGTTATTATTTCAAAAAATACTTACTGGCTGAAATGGCCATAAGTGCCTGAATGGGTCGCCACGCCATCATACACACCATCATAGTAGGAAAGATGGAGATGGTATTGCCTGCCATGTACATGATGAAGAGGTTCATGGGAATCTGTTTGAGGGGACCCAAGGCAATGTCCCAGCAGCGCTAAAACAAAGACACAATTTTAACCTCTGATCACTACCCACAGTCCCACATTTATTGTACCACTAATGTTATAGTCAAATGAACATAATTCTCAAGTTGTGCTTCTGACTGAGCTGACACCTCAATTCTACCACCTCTGGCCTCAATGTCACCACAAGAAGTCTGGTCTTCTACTAAAGATAAGTCATTCTTGTGGAGAAAGGGGAACCCTTTTGCACTGTTGGGAATGCCGACTGGTGCAGCCACTATGGAAAGCACTATGGAGAAAATCTCAAAAAACTAAAAATGGAACTGTCTTATGACCCAGCAATTCTACTTCTGGGAATTTATTTCAAGAAACCCTGAAACACTAATTTGAAAGAATATAAGCACCCCTATGTTCACTGCAGCATTATTTACAGTTGCCAAGATTTGGAAGCAGCCCAAGTGTCCATCAGTAGATGAGTGGATACAACTACGAGACATTTATTCAATGGAATGCTTCTCGAAGAAAATTTTACCCTTTGCGACAGTATGGATGGACACGGAGAACATTATGCTAAGTGAAATAAGCCAGTCAGAGGAAGACAAATGTCATATTATCACTCATATGTGGAATCTAATTAATGAACTTAATTTAACAAGCAAAAGAGACTGGAAAAGAGCAGGCTGAGAGCCAAGAGTGGGCGCAGAAGGATCGGGCAAAAAAGAAAAAGGGTTCATGGACACAACAGTGTGGTGATTGGTGGGGGGAGGGGGTGGGTGGAGGTGGAAGAGGTTATAAGGGGGACAAATGGTAATGGAAAAAAATGCAATAAAAAGGATAAGGCATTCTGACTGTTATATTTTTCCCTATAGGTTCTTCACATGGCATTTTCCCCACAATTCTAGCTAAAGAAAGGCTTTCCCTGCTTATACTTCTGGATCTATCATTATCTTATGTACAACTGAATAAATAGATAAATCTACACAGTGAGAGATTAGCATTCCTGAATCACTAACAGAATAGACAAATAAAATAGAAGATTTGAAAGACATTATTAACAAACTTAACCCGACTCACGTATATAGAACATTGCCCCCAACAGCTGACTTCACATCCTTCTCAAACACATATGGGGAAAACACCACTTGCTGACCCATGCTGGAAGTGTCATTAACTCTCAAAGAACTCAAATTATATAAAGCATGTTCTCTGCTTACCATTCAGTTACGCTAGAAATAAGTGACAAAAATTAACCAGAAAATCCCTTCTGACTTGGAATTAACAAATGTATTCTAAGTAATTCACGAATCAAATTATAATGGAAAATAACAAGTTTTTTTAACTGATCAGAATACACATTAACACTTGTGGGACACATCTAGAACTTTGAGAAACTTATAAACTTAAATACATATTAGAAGACTAAAAGTAAGCATCTATTTCAATAAATCAGAAAACAAATTAAACCCAAGGAAATAAAAATGAGAGCAATCATTAGTAAAGTTGTCTTTAAATCAAAAAAGCCAAAGGGGGTTTTTTGTTTCTTTTTTAAAGATTAATAACATTAATACTGCTGAACCCGATGAAGGAAAAAGAATGGAAGATAAATATTCAACATCAGGAATGAAAAAAGGGACATCTCTATAGGTTTTATAGATATTAAAGTGATGATATTATGAATTTTAGGAAGTGGTTCAATTACTAGAAAAAATACAGTTTTACCTAAATGGCGTAAAAAATTGGAAATATAAATAGTCCTCTAACTGTTTAAAGAACTGAATCTGTAATTAAGTCCAGATAGTTTTTCTTGGCAAATTCTAAACATTTAAGGAAAAAATAGAGCCAATCTTACACAAACTCACAGAATAAAAATGAACACTCTACAACTCAACAACTCATTATATGGGGCCTCATAAATAGTAAAACCTAACAAGGACATTATGAGAAAAGTTTATACACCACTGTCAGACATGAACCTAAAAGTAAAAATCCTAAACAAAGCCCTGGCTGGTGTAGCTCAGTGGATTGAGCATGGGCCTGTGAAGCAAAGGGTCACTGATTCGATTCCCAGTCAGAGCACATGCCTGGGTTGTAGGCCAGGTCCCCTGTAGGGGACACATGAAAGGCAACTGCACATTGATGTTTCTCTCCCACTCTTTCTCCTTCCTTTCCCCTCTAAAATAAATGAATAATAAAATCTTTATTTAAAAGATCCTAAACGAAATATTATCAAAGCAAATCTAGCTATAAAAAATAATAATACACCACTATCCACTTGGATTTACTCACATTAAGAGAATAAATAGCCATACTTGTAAATAGTTCTCTAATGTGTTATTCACATAGAAGATCATTTGTCTGGAACTTCAAACATCATCTTGTCCATACACAGAACTGTTCTAAAGGAAGTATTTATGATAACCCACCTTTAAAAATCACGCCATTTTAATAACACTTTTATCGTATTTTATTGCAATTTGATATCAAAATAAAAAATGATACTTATCAAGAAAAAATGGTAACATTTCATGTGAAAATCACTTGAATGTCAGGAAACAAAGATCATATATTGATTATTATTGAACAATACTAATGGTTCAATACTAATACTAGTATTAATATTGAACAATAATAGTAAGGCAGAGGGGAAAGAAAGTGCAGGCACTGTTCTAGGCACTTGGGAGACAAAATCATGCTCTTATGG